TGTCCTGGGTTCGAGTCTACCTTGGCACTTGGGACACACGTGAGAAAGGTGTTATCCAGTGTGACTCGACTAATTACAGGTGTCCTCCAGGTATTACAGGTACCTAACACAGGTCAGTAGAGGTCATAATAACATAACAAAGGGAAGGACTATCACCGGAACAGCCAATAAGATAAATGGTGAAATGGACACTGGCGATAATTATAGGTCAGGTGCCGTAATTAATGGACACTGGCGATAATTATAGGTCAGGTACCGTAATGAATGGACACTGACGATAATTATAGGCCAGACACCTTAATTAATGGACACTGACGATAATTATAGGTCAGGTACCGTAATTAATGGACACTGACGATAATTATAGGTCAGGTACCGTAATTAATGGACACTGACGATAATTATAGGTCAGGTACCGTAATTAATGGACACTGGCGATAATTATAGGTCAGGTACCGTAATTAATGGACACTGACGATAATTATAGGTCAGGTACCGTAATTAATGGACACTGACGATAATTATAGGTCAGGTACCGTAATGAATGGACACTGACGATAATTATAGGTCAGGTACCGTAATTAATGGACACTGGCGATAATTATAGGTCAGGTACCGTAATGAATGGACACTGACGATAATTATAGGCCAGACACCTTAATTAATGGACACTGGCGATAATTATAGGTCAGGTACTGTAATTAATGGACACTGGCGATAATTATAGGTCAGGCCCTTGTACGTTGCAGGCACGAAGACCTTGAGGAGAGAAGAGGGAGGCAAGTTAGCGGTAGTTGAGGATGTAGACGAGAGTAATGGTGTGTGTGTGTGTGTGTGTGTGTGTGTGTGTGTGTGTGTGTGTGTCCGTTAGTCTAGACCTTGACATTTGACGCCGGTTCCTTGGACCACAATTAACTTCCCTTTGGTCTTGTGAAGTGTCCGAGATCTTTGTGAAGTCATTAGGTCTCGTGAAGTCATTGTGTCTCGTGAAGTCATTAAGTTCTCGTGGAGTCATTAAGTTCTCGTGAAGTCATTAAGTTCTCGTGGAGTCATTAAGTTCTCGTGAAGTTATTAAGTTCTCGCGGAGTCATTAGGCCTCGTAAAGTCATTTGGTCTCGTAATGTCATTAAATTCTCGTGAAGTAAGAGTACACAAAGAAAATAATAATAACAATAATAAACATTAATTACACTACACTTTATGATTACCTAATATAAACGACCTTATTTCCACTAATTACATTACAGTTGGATCATTACTCGAGTTAGTACAGTAATTTGATAAACAAAATCCTAAGCTTAAAATACGTAAATAAAATCTTAGAATAAATAAACAACTTTTTAAAAACAGTAATGTAATACCGTAGTAAATAATTATGGTAAATTACACAATACATCATAACGAAATTACTGTATCTGGTTAATTTAATACAAAACCTGCACGCCCACGCCATCTGTTGACGGAGAAATACACTATAGTCAAGTAAACGAGCAAATGGCTAACAGTACAACATAAAGAAGGTGCATTATGGGAAGACCTACACCTGCTGACGTCATTAGTGGACAGAGCTTGGAAACTATTAACCAAAATACCATAATTAATCCAAATCCCTCAACCCCCCCCCCTCCCTCTCCTCCCAGTGTTACCAATTATGGGGTCAATAATCTGAATCAACTCAACCACCTTGAGACCACCGACTGATTTGGTAACACTGATGGCTGAGCGAGATTTTTTTTACTAGTGGTTTGCATATGTCTGTCTGTCTGTCTGTTTGGCTGTCTATCTGTCTGTCTATCTGTCTGTATGTATGTATGTATGTAACCTCTTTCTCTATGTATGTACAGTATGTATATATCCTCATCTCTCTCTCTCTCTCTCTCTGTGACCTGGTCTGGCCCGTGTGGGAACCAGGTCAATCTCCCTCCCTCCGTGGATGACCCCTCCCCCTCTGACCCGCCCAATACAGCAGTAGAAAGTAGATGGTAGATCAGGTAATATAACTCTCTCTCTCTCTCTCGGCGGTAGTAGTAGTAGTAGTAGTAGGTTATAATTAAAAAAATAGTAGTAGTATAGTAACAGCATAACCACCATTTATGAGTTATCATTATACAACAACCACTATCCACAACACACACACACACACACACACACACACACACACACACACACACACACACACACACACACACACACCCCCACCACACACACACACACACACACCACCACACACACCCTTCGCCACCTTCCCCACATGTCAATAAACAGAGTGAAAGGAACACCCACCTTATGCCCCCATACCATAGAGACCAGCCTCCCTCACCTCACCCCAGTACGTGTCTTGGCGGGTCAGCAACAAGAGTGAGAAAACTTTCCCTTTCATCCATGTAAAGTTCTCGGTCCGTGTTTCACTCAACCGGTTATATACCATTTAGGGAACCGGTACCTGAATTATGGAGTTTGTTAGTTTATGCTTATTTAGGAGGCGTGGGTTAGGTTAGGTTAGGTTAGTTAGGTTACATTAGATTAGAAACCCCAGATTATGTGACAGGAAGATTACCAACGCACGTAATTTTCCTTTGGTACATCTTCTGATATTATAATTTAATAATTGAGTTTGAATATGATATATTTATTTCTTGGGTAAATTATTCGTTTGGTAGATAATTAAACCAATAGCTTCACAATAATGGTACAACTTTGTTTTCGCAGTGATATAACGGTAATGTTATATATATATATCAGTGTCGTTTATTATTGCATTAGTGGATTTTTAATACCTGGTCTATTTATAACTATAGGTCTGTATATTTTATAACTGTACCCTATTGTAATGATGTAGCTGTACCCTATTGTAATGCTATCATAATTGTACCCTATTGTAATGCTATCATAATTGTACCCTATTGTAATGCTATTAAGTGTAGCCTATAATAATAACATCGTAACTAGCACTTACTTTGTACTGTAGTGACGTCCTAGTCTGACTAAGCCTGTAAAGAATAGTTTTTTAAGCTTTTTTCACGACTATTTGTATACCTGCATACCTCTATATAAATTATATATCTGGACTATCTTAAAGTCAATTTTAGTTTTAGTAAAATAATCTTTAAGTAAAACAATAAATTACTTATTTTTTATGAAGCGAATTTTGAAGTTTCTCACGGTAAAGCAACTAAACTTGTCGCCATTTGGATCTTTTTCTGCCTCAATAGTCTTGATAACGATTGATATTTGTTCTTTGTGATATTATAAATCTTTTCTGTTCCACTTAACGCACAACTATTGCATATTTCGCCACTAATCTGTATAATAATGACAACACTTCGCAACATGTCGATTTCAATTTCATCTCCCCGGCAGCTTTTTAGACGGGAACTTGTCCGATTGTGCGATAGTTTTTAAATATTACTTTTTAGCTTTAAAAGTCATTATCAACTTTATTATTATAAATTAATAAGATATTGAATAAATATAATAATAATTAAATGAATTACTTATATTAAAAATTATCATAATGTCGTTTATATAAAATTAAATAAAGACAAATCCGTTATAAATACTTTCGGATGCAGTCACCGTTTTCTTCCAACAACATAAAAGAAAACGTTAAAAAATATTATTTAATGGGTAACTTTACAATTTATACATTACTCGCATACATACTCATTATATACACTATACAGGTATGAATATTGATGATTTGTAGTTTATTTTATCTTTTATGTGTATTGATGTAGACTATGCTTCACTATCAATGGAGTTAGAAGGATTAAAGTGATTATTTCATATATAATTCGAGATGTTCCCTCTTACTAGAGTCTTCATATGTTTTTATTTTGTCTAGATATCATATATGTTTAAGCTTTATTTTACCTTAGTAGGTATTGAGCGCTTAACCTTTACTCTCGCCCTATCTATCTTGTGTTACAATACATTATATGTCATTTGGACAGTATCAAAACGTGTATATATCCAAATCATCATATTTAGAACTTCGTAGTAAAGAAATACATCTCGTTCCGCCCAGTCCTTGCTCAGTATTCTCTCAAATATCAACACGTGTGTCTGTATAAACGTGAGTATACGTGTGCATGTGTGTTTTTGTGTGTGTACAGATGTGACTATGTGTGTATACCCAAGTGTATTCATATCAGTGTATGTTTATTAATGTACACAGTATGTATCCAATTCACAGAATGTAAAAAAAAATCGTTATATTCTGAGTAGTTACATATTTTTTTTTATATCAATAAGAGGAAAAGATTTTGTGCTTCATAACAATAATTTAAACCCCACCCGACCAGGTGGTCTCGGCCAGTGCACTCAGGTAACGGGGGGTGTCTTATTATTTCTACCGTATTACCGTGACGCTTCAGTCTTTCCTACCTCTTTCATATAATATCTTTAAAATTAACAATACCAATAAAATAAGCCGCACAAAAACAGCATAAAGGGATTAATAAGAGCTATATGATGCTTGATAAACGATAATAGTTAGTTACCTGCAATGACTGTTGTGTATACTGTACTTAGCGGGGTCTCTCACACCGTTAAAAAGGAAAAAAAAATAAAAGAAACACCGCTATACTAAACCGCCGCCTACACCTCCCACCTCCTCTCGCCGTTGTTCACCTCACGCAGTCACTTCCTCACCGTCCTCCAGTAGTGTCGTGAAATACATAGATCAGAGAAAAAATTGTGGTGAGTCCAGGTGAGGTCTCGTAAGATTCACTATTATTATTCCTTAGGACATGAAAAAAATTACATTAAGATTCTCCAATACGTTTACTTAATTAATTCCATGGTGTTAAGGTGTTTGTTATCCTGGAACGATTTTGGAATGTTATGGAGCGATTTTTTTTTTCATGTTAAATTTACAGGAATATTATCATCGTGTTGGCGGGGAATATTGGAACAGATCCTTACTGTATGTGTCTAGTAATTACATTGAAGATCATTGAGTGTGCTAAATAATTGTTATTTATTCCTAAGGTTTTTATGTGATTATAAATACACAAACGTGAAGAGGATTTAAGACTTACAGAATTATATATATAACAAGATTAAGTTGAAAAGTGGAAAAAGTGAAGAAAAAAATTGTTTTTGAAACCAATAGACTATAGACTCAGACCCAATAAAGAAATTATAGACTCTTAAAACACCCAAAATGGAAAACAAACAGAAGAACAAAAAAGATCGAATCCTACTAAAAAGGATACGATTCCAAGATATCTGCTTTGTGTTGACGTTTATTGTGACGTTGATACCCATGGTTCAGGCACACGATACAACTGACCCCTCAATGACCTTCAACCACCCACAAGCCCCAGAAGAGGTCACAGGACATGGTTATTATCCCCACCATGACCTTGTTGATGAGGAGCTTGAATCTGATGGAGGTTCAGATACCATTACCAGTACATCAGCTAATAAACAAACAGTGACGTTATTCGATACTGTGAAAAATAAATTAATCGAACATGTTGGTGAGTTATGAGTGTTTGTTTTATTAAGAGGAAAATTATAATAGTGATGATAATGATAAAAATAATAGTATTGTTATTGATAATTATAATGTTAATAATTCTTGGATAGTTCTATACTAACCTTCCTCCCTCCCGCCACAGACACACAAGGCAGGTCACTCAGTCGACAGATGAGCTCCCTCAATTTTCCCTCCTTAGAAGTCGCTCTCCTCTCCCTCGCCTTCCTCACCTTCGCCGTCTTCCTCATCGATCTCGTCCAGGTGTGTATGTGTGTTTACAGGTGTGTATGTATATATATGTGTCTGTATATCATTTATTTATATTTTTATGTATTTATTTATCATCGAACACAGGACCTCTTGAATGGTAACACGAGTGGACGCAAGAGACGTGACGCTGCTGACGACGGGCTGACGGATTTGATCGTGCTGACACTCTCCTCCCTAGATACTGTCAGCTTCGGCAGAGAGAACCCAGAGTGCGGTCAAAGACTCTTGTGTCATCTCAATAGATCTGGCTGGCACGACGGAATGCTGGGTACTGCCTCTAACTACTTCGTCAGGTAGGTCTTCGTCAGGTAGGTCTTCGTCAGGTAGGACTTCGTCAGGTAGGTCTTCGTCAGGTGGATCTTCGTCTGGTTGGTCTTCGTCAGGTAGATCTTCGTCAGGTAGGTCTTCGTCAGGTAGATCTTCGTCAGGTAGATCTTCGTCAGGTAGGTCTTCCGAAAGGTAGGTATTTGTGGTGGTAAAGTGATATGATACATTGTTACAGTGGTGCATTGGTCCGTATATTGACCCTCGTTTTACTTTATGGACGTCATTAATCCTTTATAAACCCCTACGGACGCCACTAACCCTACTCTCCCTTTACGGACGCCACTAACCCTTTCTCAACGCCTACAGACGCCACTAACGCCCCTCTCTCTCCCTTTACGGACGCCACTAACCCTTTCTCAACGCCTACAGACGCCACTAACGCCCCTCTCTCTCCCTTTACAGTATGATCTTGAGCCTCTTCTCGCCTTCGTCAGGTTTCCAAGGGAATCTAGACGCTGCGAACTACGGACGAGAGAGCGAGGAGTGTGCTGAACGGTACCCCACCTGTCCCTCCGTCCTGGGTGACCTCCTGCCCTCTACACGCTGACCTGACCTCCTTCCTCCATCTCCTCCCCCTCTTCCTCCTTCTCCTCCCCCTCTTCCTCCTTCTCCTCCCCCTCTTCCTCCTTCTCCTCCTGCACATACGGACCGCACCTCCTCCAATAAAGAAAGAAAGGTCAAACGCCCAGACAATGTTTACACTCCCGTCACCTTAGCAACGAAGAAACATGGCCGACCACCCATCATTGTGACGTCACGCATGTAAGCAAAGATTGAAATTTATGACGGCATTTACAGTGTGAGTGTGTGTGTATGAGCAAATTTCACCATATTTACACACAATTACATTATTATACCAAATTATACGTTCGTGAGTGAATGCAATTATCTGTCAACGTCATAATCATACGTGACCTCATAAATTATACGTATTTTTATTCATACATTAAATTCATCTAGTGTATAAGTTTTTAATATATTATTTATTCAGTCTGTATTAGTGTTGAATAAATGTAATTAAAAGAATCATGTTTTTCTATACCTTTACATGAGATAGGATGGTGAGAATCTGATTGGTTCTTTTAATGTGACGTTATAACTGAGCAGCCAATCAGAACACAACGTCACCATCACAACAAACACTACTACCACTACTACTACTACTACTAATACTACTACGGACTGAATCATGTAATTATTCTACAGGCTGCAGATAACATGGCATTTAACCCTTTGAGGACGATGATTTAACCCTTTGAGGACGATGATTTAACCCTTTGAGGACGATGATTTAACCCTTTGAGGACGATGATTTAACCCTTTGAGGACGATGATTTAACCCTTTGAGGACGATGGTTTCAAAATATTGATAATTAAAACACATACAAACTAAACAATAACAATTAACTCTACCAGAACTACCATCAAAAACTGTTAGGATAAATAACATAAAACAAAGAAACTAACATTAATTTAATACAAACAGTAAGTACGTCACAATAAATAAACAAACAAAATTAGTAAACATTATAATTATGCAAATTAGATTGACTTAAGAATAGGTAAAGATAAAGTGAATAAAGTCTTTTATAATATATGACTTATAGAATTATTTAATTATATACATGTAATTGTGTCTACTGATGGATTTATATTATTAATTAGTATTATTATCATCTTTATTATCCTTTATAGTTAATAGATAAAAGAATATTCACAGTAACTTAGAAAAACAAACACTACTTGAATCAACTGACGCAATGGAACAAAGATTCTAAGATGCTTGATTCAGTTGAGACTACAATGCCAGAATCAATCTACACTTTGCAAACATATATATGGCAGCCACAGAATCAGCCGCTTAAAATGATTCAGTGTATTGCTAGAATCAGCTGAGTTGGTGTAAACAACGGAGAGTCAAAGAGGAGAGTTATTGTGTAGAGTTAGTGTAGTGTAGACAACCATAATGGAGGTATGTGTCAGCTCGTCGGATCAGGGTGTGTCGGATCAGGGTGTGTCGAATCAGGGTGTGTCTGACTACCACTACAAACGACTCCACTTTCCTGCGGGTGTCAGATCAGGGCGTGTCGGATAGGCTACCACTAAGGCCCACACCACCAGCAGTATATAGCCAGGGACCCCGTCAGGAACAAGAGGGCGTGTGTAGAGGCGGGGTAGGAGGCGTGGCTAGTGTACCTGAAGGAGTGTCGTCGCCTGTAGTAGGGGTAGAAGGGGCCCCGGATCACCACGCCCGATCCTCGTTCTGGAAGGAGAGACACACATCATCGTCAGGAATTGGTCTTCTGCGTCGCCACCGTCAGCAAACTTGGATTACCCCCCCCCCCTCTCCCCTCCCCACCTGATGAATGAGCAACCCTATAACCTAACCTAACTTAACCTAACTTAACTTAACCTAACTTAACCTAACTTAACTTAATTTAACCTAACTTAACCTAACCTAAAGATCAGCGCCCTAGTTTATTTCACCTGATGAATGAACAATCACTCACGCTGACCTACCCTAACTTAACCTAACTTAACCTAACTTAATCTTCACGTGAACCGATACAACTATATCACAATTTAAGATCTACAATTCCGACTAACAATAACAACAACTCCAGCTAACAACAACAACAACTCCGGCTAACAACAGAAGCTAAAAACAGATTTGTGGAACATAACAGGAAGATCGTTGACTAACTCGTCCTGTGGAGCTGTAAGTTTGAGTAATGGGATGATGACTCGGTTCGTGGAAGGCCCTCAGCACCGCCCAGGATGGAGACGTCACGTTGTTCTCGTTCTCGTGTATGTGTTCCATGGAGGGGGACGTCGTCATGGAGGGGGACGTCGTCATGGAGGGGGACGTCGTCATGGAGGGGGGCGTCGTCATGGAGGGGGACGTCTTGGAGAGGGACGTCATCAAAGTTATGTTCGTCCTCCTGTTGCTGCTCTGACATATCGAGGGGGACGCATCGAGGGAGGGAAGGACGTCGTCATGGAGGACGTCAAGGGCGTCATCATGGAGGGCGTCATCCTCGTCATGGAGGACGTCATCATGGAGGACGCGTCGTTTGTCACGCTGTCATGTACGTCTTCAGCGTCACCTCGAGGGGACGTCATCAGGACATCATCAAGACGTAGAGGGTGTGAGTGGAGGGCATGGAGCGGTGTGTGGAGGGCATGGAGCGGTGTGTGGGGGCGATGGGCGGTGTGTGGGGGCGTGGAGTGTGTGTGGCGTGGGGGGTGTGTGGGGGGCGTGGGCGGTGTGTGGAGGGCGTGTGGGGGGCGCGTGTGTGGGGGCGTGGGCGGTGTGTGGAGGGCGTGGGCGGTGTGTGGGCAGTGTGGGCGGTGTGTGGAGGGCGGTGTGTGGAGGGTGTGTGGAGGGGGAGCGTGGAGGGCGGTGTGTGGGGGCGTGGGCGTGTGTGGAGGCGTGGAGCGGTGTGTGGAGGGCGTGGGGCGGTGTGTGGATGCTGTGGAGAAGTGCTGTGACCCTGCAGCCTCCCGGATGCCTCCCTCTCCGCCGTCACCACCACCACCGTCACCTGGCCTGCAGGGGAGTGAGGCGTATAAGTGGGCCATTATAGACCCTTCATGACTGCTTTTGACTCTCTCTCTCTCTCTCTCTCTCTCGACATACGTGGAAAGATCCAGTTTATTATCGAAGGAAGTTTTCTTAGAGATAATAAGAAGGGACACGTCTTTATGATCTGACACACACACACGCATACACACACACACACACACACACACACATACACTACACACACATACACTACACACACGCACACACACATATACACACACACACACACACACCTGATAGTTACCACATTATCTTCACGGCTGGCATGACACACTTATTAACGTGATGAGTTCTCTTCAAGCGACGAGCATTCACACTAAAGCGTTGTGGGTCACACAAGGGGGTCTGAGGCACACTAGGGTGGTCTGGGTAACACTAGAGTGGTCTGGGTCACACTAGGGAAGTTTGGGTCACACTAGGAGGGTTTCGGTCACACTAGGAGGGTCTGGTTCACATTAGGGGTCTGAGTCACACTAGGGGCGTTATGGGTTATAATAAGCATGTTGTTGCTCACACTAGGGACCACATGGTGTTCCAGGATAACACTAGGGGACTGTTCTCTCACTAATAGTATTTAGGATCACACTAGACGTCACCGTAATCACACTAGGGGTAGCAGAAGTCACACTAAGGTCCCGAATGACACGTTAGGGAAGTAACCCCCAGTATGGAGTGTGAGATAGGCCGCAGTAGAGTGTATAAGTCTTTAGTATGATAGATCCCTAAGTATGATAAGTCCTCAGTATGATAGATCCTCAGTATGATAGATCCTCAGTATGATAGGTCCCTTAGTTTGAGTGGTCCCTTAGTTTGAGTGGTCCCTTAGTTTGAGTGGTCCCTTAGTTTGAGTGGTCCCTTAGTATGAGTGTTCCTTTAGTATGATAAGTCCCTTGATATGAGTGGTCGTAGTGTGTGGTAGTGTGAGCGTGTGTCCGACCGCTCGACACAGTGGGTGATGGGGTACTGAGCGAGACTGCCCACTGTGCCAGGGTTAGGACTGACGTATACAGCGCCACCTGTTGAACTACGACGCATACTACACGGTACCTAACCTAACCAAACCTAACCTAACCTAATCTTGACGAACTTAGCCTAACCTAACCTAACCTAACCTAATCTTGACGAACTTAGCCTAACCTAACCTAACCTAACCTAATCTTGACGAACTTAGCCTAACCTAACCTAACCTAACCAAACCTAACCTGACCTGACCTAACCAAAAATTTGCTAGTTTATTGTGCACCCCTTACAAAAGTGTTTACAGCAGACAACAGGACAACACATATGGTGCTCATGGGAGAGACTGAAGGACCATACATACATACATACATACATACAATACATACATACATACATACATACACGTACAGTAATGACAGGATAGTGAATGGTGAATGACATTTTGTATTAGCATAACCTTGACTCTCTTACATCGCCCCTCACCCCTCACTCCTCACCCCTCAGTCCTTACCTCTCACCCCTCAGTCCTTACCTCTCACCCCTCAGTCCTTACCTCTCACCCCTCACTCCTCACCTCTCAGTCCTTACCTCTCACCCCTCAGTCCTTACCTCTCACCCCTCAGTCCTTACCTCTCACCCCTCAGTCCTTACCTCTCACCTCTCAGTCCTTACCTCTCACTCCACCACTCTCACTTTCCCTCTCACCTCTTATCTCTATCCTCTCATCTCCCTCCCACTTTTCACCCCTCTCCCCTCATCCACCCATACGTCCACCTTAAATTAGTAGAGGGGGGGGGAGTGGAGGGGGGAGAGGAGGGGGGAGTGGAGGGGGGGAGAGGGGGAGGAGACAGACAGACAGACGGTCAAGGTTATCTGTCACCTAACGTCAAATTTAAGAAGTAGGAAGGACCCGCATATATACAGTAAGGGAGAGATGTATCACGTGAAGCTTAGACACCCTAGCTTATTTTACGTGAAGATTAGACACCCCAGCTTAATTAACCAACACAGAAGGCTACAAGCTCACACACACACACATACTGTACGCTATGTAGGTTACCTCAATATTACGGCTATGTACCGAGACGAGCCACCGCCCTTAATAATACAATAACACCTTCCTACACCGTATTTGTCTTATTTTTTTACTTATTACACTATAAATTAAGTTGTTAGCTGTGGCACGCGGGGTAGAGGTTAAAACGTCAGCTCATATTACGTAGTAGCGTTCTTGTGTGACGCCACTATTCAGGTTGCACGCTCATTAGGAACGACAATGCTCTAGTGTTATTAACGTACAATAGATTACAGGTGATAGATAATGTTGCAGGGGAGGCTTATAATCGAATTAATACTACTACTACTACTACTGCTACTAATAATAATACTATTACTGCTACTACTACTACTACAACTACATTCATTTTAATTGTATTTTAAGTAGTTGTATTAGGGGATTTAAGTATGATATTGTTTTAAGCACGCGTGTATATGTGTATTTAATCCTATTCGGGGTAAATGTATACATGTATTATATTTTTATACATACACAAACAGACATTATAAAAACAGCATCACACTATCTACAAACGCCCAATGACAACCGTAATTATGAGCATTATTATTAAACCAAAGTGGCGATGAAGGTACAATCAAAATCCCCGAATAATTATAAATTTTAGGCTATAATGAAGAAAATCACAATTAAATATCCATAAAACCGGAAGATAAATCATTACACATAATTATCTTAACCAATTAAATAATATAATCAACTACAAATTACCTTTCTTATTAATTATACTCTACTACGAAATCTAGAGTTGCAATGAAGTGTATTATTTAATAAAATTTTACTTGATAATTAATACATACTGGTGTTCTATTGGTGTTATATTGTTCTCTAGTATTTGTTATTCCTGTTCACTTACAAATATAATACAATAATTTGCTATACGAGGTAAAAAGTGATGATATATAAGGACTGATGCTGTCGCCATTAAGCTTCGTGTTTGTTTATTTACATTGTATTTGGCGGGAAACTGATGGATGAAAAAACACGCAAAAATTAAATATTTTCTTATTTACTTGTTTTCTTACCTATTTATTTAGTAATTTAACTATTTATTTACGTAATTATATATTTATTTACTTAATTATTTACTTATTTATCTACTTGCGTACTTATTTATTTTCCTTTATACTTGCCTACCTATATATATTGATAGATTTGTAGATCTATTTATATATTTACAGTGTAGGTTTATATAAAAATAAAATTAGACTATATTTATCAAATTATATTATAGAATAGTATTAAATAGATAAACAAACAATTAATAATTAATTAAAAAACAAAAACTATTTACCTGTTTTGTACTGAATTTTTCTCATACATTGATGCAAATATTAAACACTAAAATAAAATAATATTATTTATTTTACAAAGTATATAAAACATGACTAAAAAAATGAAAGGATTATTATAAGTATATTTATTAAACATAGAAAATATAATAAAATATAGAAATTCGTTGTGTATATAGTCGATATATTAATGAAGGGTTGGTGGTTTATCAGTCAGTCGTGTTTACGTTTGTGTATGGGGAGCAGCGGGGTAACGTGTGAATGGTCTCCATATTTCATTAATTATGGCTTCTGTTGACCGATTATATGCTTTGTACAATGTTATCGCTGATGCTAAGGATAAAGCTGGTGAGGTAAGTAAAGTTTAAAACCCTGTATAGTATTTATTATTTGTGTTATTCCCTTAAATGTGATAGTGAGGGGGAGGCGGCGGGGGATGAATGGCTCGGGGTGAATCATAATTTATATATTTTATCATAATTATAGTTTGATATTGAGGGAATTATTGTTATTAAGTGACTAAACTAATTAATATATTGATATATTATGAGTGAACGTGTAGTTGTTAATGAAATAAATTATTGTGAGATCTAAAGTAATTCCCATACTCGTTTCCTACGTGTAATTTTTTTTTGTGATAATTAACCTATAATTGAGGAAATATTATAGAGTGATCAGATTAAGAAATAAATCTTTTTTTAATCAGGGTAAAAGAGTATTTCTTTTTTTAGAGTTGTAGAGTTGTAGGTTTAATTATAATTTACACTAATTTACTGTTATAATTCTCAGCATCAACATCTACTTTGATCTCTATATGATTCGTTAGATGGAGGTTTCACATCTAATGGAGCCTCAATATAACGGACATTCTTCTCTATATAGTTTATTAATAGAGGTTTCACATCTAACAGACCCTTGATACGGTCCGACTAATTACCCAAATGTAGCCGGAATGAAGTCAAATAATGGTCCTAGATAAATAAATCGGACTGCCAATCACTTCTCGACTAGTATTTGGTGTCACAAAGTCACAAAAAATTGGTAAACTTAATTTAATCTGAGTTGTGTTGTGTTAGGTTAGATTAGGTTAGGTACATGCACTTGATCTATTAACTCAGATTAAATTAAGCTTACCAATTTTTTGTGACTTTGTGACACCAAATACTAGTCGAGAAGTGATTAGCAGTCCGATTTATTTATCTAGGACCATTATTTGACTTCATTCCGGCTACATTTGGGTACATTTGGGTAATTAGTCGGACCCCCCTAGATATAATGGACACTCCTTCCTCTCCACAGTCCATTAAATAGAGGTTTCACATCTAACAGACCCTCAATATAACAAACTTTCCTTCCTCACCACCACTAACTAGAACTCTCAACGTACTGTATCTAATCTATCACATTTTTTCACCCCCATTTCTCAGCATGATAAGGAGTTTGCTGAGATACTGACCGGGGTGAAGGGAGGCACGGGGGAAAGGCGGCTGACCTCACAGTTCATCGCCAGGTTCTTCCAGTATTTTCCCCCCCACCAAGAACAAGCCCTGAACGCCCTCCTCGACCTGTGCGAAGACGATGAAATGGCGGTAAGTTGTTGTGAGAGAGAACCGGTGATTGTCCGAAGATGAATCTTAACCCGAGTTCAGTTCACCCGGAGATTAATCAACCTAATGCTAACCTGACCTAACCTATCCTGACCTAACCATAACTATCCTATTCTAACCTAACCAAAACTATCCTATTGTAACCTAACCACTCTACTGCTAACCTGACCTGATCTAACCTAACCTGATCTAACCTAACCTATCCTAACCTAACCAAGTAGCATTATGGTGTTTAATCTTCAGGTGAAATAATCCAGGGGTGGAAATATGTCAACTAAAAGAGACTTAATTTGTATATTATGGAGAAAATACCTTGTGGTTCTAAAGCCTCGACAAGAGTTAATCATTAGGGGTGTACTGGAGAGAGGCAGACAGACTGAGAGAGAGGCAGACAGAAAGAGAGAGGGTCAGACAGAAAGGGAGAGAGAGAGAAAGAGAGGCAGACAGAAAGGGAGAGAGAGAGTGAGGCAGACAGAAAGGGAGAGAGAAAGAGAGGCAGACAGAAAGGGAGAGAGAGAGTGAAGCAGACAGAAAGAGAGGGAGACAGAGATGGAAAGAGGAGACAGACAAAGAAAGAGAGAGAGACAGACAGAAAGAGAGAGAGAGTACAGTGTGTCCGGGTGAACCTCACATTACAGAATATCTCACTCTGCCGTCAACGATCGTCACCGTTATGCCTCAGACCAAACGGTTAATATTTTCTCTTAACGGTATAAAAGTCTCCTAAAAAAACCCACAACTTTTATTATTTTATGCGAGTTGAAACATTAATTTGCTTTTTGAAATGGAATAAGAAATATTTGGTCAATATATATGTATGAATTGGTTACTGATCAGATCCATATGAAGAACACCACTACTTTAATCCATTATTATAGTGTTAAGTTAAATGTTATAGTCAGTCGAGTTGGTGGTAGTCTATCTAGGATACTGTGTGTGGAGTGTGGCGGTCGTGTGGTGTACAGCGCTTACCTTCTGGTCGGTGGTTCGATCCCCAGGGTGCGTGTAAAAGGGTACAGCATGGAGGAGTGTTTGTGAGCAGTACCGGCCATGCTGCCTCCTTGTGTACCAAAGGCTTAGTGTACAATATGCTGTATCCACACTGTCTGTAATGGGACCCACTTTCTATTTTTTATTTTGTATATATTGGTGGTAATTTTGGACTTTTAGTATTATGATCATACTTGTAACAGAGAGCTAATTTTGCTGTGAAATTGGGAAAAAAATAATTGATTTACCTTCACCCATGTTTCAGCACTCCAGACTGCACCACCAAACTTATTATTTTTGTATTGTGTTTTTTTTTATTGGTGTCGTACTTTACTTATAATGTACAGTATGCATGCAAATAAGTACCGGTAACAAACTAAAGTAATATCTCCGTTAGTTGGAATCCCTCTTAGCCGGAATTGAAATTTGCTCAGAATTTTTCCGGAAATTTCTCTCGATTCCGAGTTTGTGAATAATTTTCCAGGGTTAAAAATCAGGCGCAATTTCTGAAAATTCCGAGAAAATTTACGGAACTCTCCATTTTTATCTTCTGGGCCAGGGAGCAAATTCAGAGGATAAAATTATGTGTAAGTCTAGCAAATTCTTAGAAAATTACAGAAGCTCTCCAAAATTGCATAATTTCCGGAAAATTCCGTGAAACTTTTACCGGTATACCGAAAAATTCCAGGGATGGGGGAATTTTTCCGGGATTGAGAGAGTCGTCTCATTACCCGGAAATGTCTCATTCCCGTAAGTGCTCTGCACCAATTATTCCGGCTAACAGGAATATAACTGTACAGTATAGTAATTTGTGATGCTTTTAGAGAAGAATGAAAAATAGTGCCACAAATATATTACTAAAGGTGAAGTTTTGGTGGGAATTAAGCATTTTTAGTTATCCACTACTGTATCCATTATCTAGACACATACTTTTCCTACATCCAGGTTATCCGTCATCCGTCCAGACAGCCAAATCTGATATCCGGTACAACTCTGTTAAAGATGTACTCATTGTAAACAAAGATGTGTTAGTTATTATGCACTGTGACTAACCCATACAAATAACAACCAACTAAACCATCACGGACCAAGTAAATGACCGTGTTATATTTCAGATTCGGAAACAGGCAATCAAAGACCTGCCGACGATATGCCGAGGCCACACAGAACTGGTGCCCAAGGTGGCGGACATCTTGGCCCAGCTTCTGCAGATGGAGGATCAGGCGGAGTTGGCCGTTGTACAGTCCTCACTCGTGTCCATCCTCAAGACCGACGCCAAAGGTTAGTCTCTGCGTCTTTTTAAAATTTAAGTGGCTACTCTTAGGTCACGCGGCTGAGATGTTATGTTGGGTTGGAAAAGCCGCGTTTCCTGATGTAGTATACGAGATTTGTAGGCTGTGGACATGCACAGATGTTTTAAGAAAGACAATTTGACTATAGGTTGTGGACGGCAGCCAAGCAGTGGTCTATTAATCTCTCTCTCCTCGGGGTCTGTATATTATAATCTCTCTCCCTCAGGAACGCTCACCGGGCTGTTCTACCAGATCGAACACAGCGAAGACGAGTTGGTGCGAGAACGATGCATCCGGTTCCTCCACACCAAAGTACGATCCCTGGGGTCGCAAGTCTTCTCAGCTGACGTCGAAAACCTCATCCTCACCGAAGCCAAGAAAGTACTACAGGTGAGGCTGGGAAGTAGTTAAAGTCACTCTAGGGTGGGAAGTACTTGAAGTCACTAGGCTGGGAAGTACTTGAAATCACTCTAGAGTGGGAAGTACTTGAAGTCACTCTGGTTCACCTCAGTTTATTTTGTGTAAAGATTAACCACCCTAATTCTAACCTAACCTAACCCTCCCTCGGTCGTTAGGTAATATTAGGGTGTTTAATCATCATTGAAATAATATTGGGTGTCTAATCTTCATGTGATCCCCAAAACAGTGTCTGAGAATCTCTTGTGTGCCGAATAAAATCGTCAGCCATTTGCCGAATAGAATATTAAAAGCGGCGTCCCTGTAGCGAACGGGTTAGGTCAATATGCAATACAATTCATGCACGTGCTTCATTCTTTTCCGTCCTGACAAATTCCAGATTTTTGTTATTCTTTTCCATCATGACAAATTCCAGGTTTCGTCTTGACACATTCCAGGTTTTGTCATTCTTTTCCATCCTGACATATTCCAGGCGGCATCTTCGGAGGACGAGTTTACCCTGGTGATGGGAATACTGAGAGAACTGAAGACATGCCAGACTGTCAAGGGCTACCAGCAGTTAGTTGACCTCGTGGCGGAGCAAGTGGACCTAACGCGCACCCTTGAACCATCTGACCTGGAGAGCGTGCACCGTCTGACGTCCTGCTTCAAACAGGCCTTGCCGTACTTCTCTGTGAGTTTGGCCTGCACCGGTTCAACCTGTATAGTCGTACTTGGTTACTAGAGTTTTAATGAGTACTGGAGTTATATTGAGTACTGTAGTTACATTGAGTACCCGAGTTACTGTATATTGTTTTCTAGTTATATTTGGTACTTGAGTTATTGAGGACTTGTGCTATAGATTACTAGTTATATTGAGTACTAAAGCTATAGATTACTAGTTATATTGAGTACGAAAGCTATATCAAGTACTGTGCTGTATTTATATAAAGTATTAGAGACATTTACTGCAAAAAAAGACCCATTGCTAAACCTCTCAACGTGTTTTATTTTCAGTCCCAAGTTCGCTCAACCCTTTTCGTAGAGTACATGTGGCGAGAAGTAGTCCCGGCCCTCGACCACCTTGAGGCTGCTGTACCCGATGGGCCAAGCAATGCCTCCCTCATCCTCGACCTGCTCAAGATCATAGCAGAACTTGTCCCCCATGCTGGTAACTTGGAAGACATTGGGGGCAAAGTTGTGGCCATCTTTGATAAGCTTCTGGTACGTCTCCTCTCGTCCGCCCATCCATCCATCCGTCATCCGTCCGTTCTTGTAGTTTTGTCAGTCGAGGATGTGTAGTGTAGTTTTGGGATGAGAATGTGAAATATAGTTTAACATTGAACTTCAGGATGTAAATAAAGTTCTCTTGCTTGAGTTATTGATAAGGATGAGATGTGTAGTCTTGTATTGAGGATGTGAGAGATGTGTGTTTACTGTGTGTCTGTGAGATGTGTTTACTGTGTGTGTGTGAGATGTGTTTACTGTGTGTGTGAGAAAGATGATGTGGTTCTTATGCCTTTACTCCGTTCTCCAGGAAGTGATGCCTCTGCCTCCTGAAGGTGATGCTGCCACGGAGGCCTTGGAGGGAGGAGTAAGCCTGGAATTCTCCCGTGTGGAGTGTCTCTTATTTACCTTCCACCAGCTAGCTAAGCACAACCCAGAGTTCTTGGCTGAGGACGCAGATCGGCTCAAGGATTTCAGGATAAGGTATATGTACTACTTTATTTAGTATGACCCCAAGTGCCAAGGTACAGTATTGGTCAGGCTTATTTTTGAGTCCGAATGCATACCTAACCCCATGCCATGTTCGGGTGTGTTAGTCATTGGGTGAATAAGCTGGGGTGTCAATCTTCAGTACTATCCTCATTCACCCAAGTTTCCCTGTAATGAAATAAGGCATTTGTACATTAATTAAAAGGAATAATTGAGACGCTCTTAATTTCCCGTCGTTCGTACACAACTAGTCGTTAAGAGCTCGTTTGTTAATGTTTGGTGGATTCTTCTCCAGGTTGCAGTATTTCGCCCGCGTCTCACAGGCCTACCAGAAGCGTCTGAGAGAGGCTCTGACCAACAAGACGGGGGAGGAACTGAAGACTGAGGAGAACAAGATCAAGTTGATTGCTCTCAAGACCACAGCTAACATAAACATCCTCATTAAGGATCTCTTCCACCAGCCACCATCTTATAAGGTACTGTCCACCATCTTATAGAGTACTTTCCTTGGAGTTAATGACCTAACCTAACCTATGGATATGCAAAGTTAAGTTACTGAAGAAATAGTTAGATAGTTATACAGTTTTATGAATCCATCCAGATGTCATTCAACTTTTGTGTCTTGTCTTTCTTCATTGTCAGGCGAGTATTGCGCTGTCATGGAAGCCAGCGTCTGCAGCAGGGAAGGCGATGACGAATGGAGCGGAGAAGAGGCACACACCCATAACTTTCGACTCCAACATCCAGAAGAGCCAGAAGGGGGAGCGGCAGATCTATGCCCCACCACGAGACAAGTACAGTCAGCGAGCGGGCCAGTACTGTGAGTTATCCCTCTCTCTCTTCTGGTCTTTGTTTGTCTATCTCTTTTCTGTCCATCTATCTCTCCCTGTTTGTATTATTCTTTCCATAAATGCTTCGGAGTCAAGAGTCTGAATCTCAGGTTTGGTTAGGTTAGGTTAAGATGACAGGATTTTTTTTGGTTGGCTCTACAGTATATCTTACAAGCTCTTAACACTTTTAATGTACAGGAAGTCAATTGGGCCTATGGACGGGTTTGTTCTTATACCTGAAAGTTCTTAAGTCAAGAATTACCTTTAATCTACAGGGTGAGCATAAAGTCTTTCCCTGATTATGAAAAATCATATCTTGAAGACCATTCTAGATAGAAACATGAATGTTGTAGCATTGTGTAGACGAATTCATAGATTTTTTTTTCATGCATATTTTAAGCTGCAAAAAACTGTATGTTTGTACCAAGCATATGTCTTGTGTAATAAATGTTTGTAATCAGGGAAAGACTTTATGCTCACCCTGTACTTCAAGGTCAGCGAGGATTTATTGTTTTCCTTTTTTTCAGCTGGCGGGAATTTCCGTGGTCGGGGCAGAGGACGAGGTAGGGGCTTTGCTTACGGTTCCAATCGTGGCGGCGGCATCTTCCGTTCTGGCTTCAGAGGGAGGCGAGGAAACTTCCGGCCCTATTAAGTCACGATGGCAAAAAATCCAAAGAGAAAAAAAAATCAATAAAAAAAATAAAAAGTGGGAGACACACATTAGCTTTAAGTTCAGCCATTTGTATGAGGCGCAGTGAGGTGAGGGAATGTCTTGAGATACTGGCAAGACGATTTTAACTAACTCGAGCAGCACAACAAGACCAAAGAGACGACACACACACACACATAAAACCTGTGTTCTGTAAGGCGTTGTAAGCTGTACTCTACCTGAATGGAATGCTATAAAAAATGCTATAGTATCTGTAATAATGGGTGAGATTTTGTGAAGTTTTGGTCGGAGCAGAGTGAGAATTACCCCCCCCCCCAATATCTTAATCCCTCACTCTTGTCAGTCTACCTATTGTATATAAAAGGTGAACAATGCTCTTATGGGTAACTAGACAAGGTTACAACGCCAACAACACAGCTAATTGGTAGTAATGATTGTGATTAACGGCAAGATTTAACGACTTGGGGGGTGAAAAAGCCAAATTCGATTATGATGTTCCACTTGGTAATTGATTTATCTAAAGTAGCAGTAATGAAGGAATTAAATACACAGTACTCGGTTCTAATTGTCTTGTCTTAGTCGGTTAATTAGATCCAATAAGAATTTTTTGTATTGTAGTAAACACACAGTAGGTAGCCACTAACAGGACTGGGTGAGATGTCAGTGCACTTCTTCATTTGTTTTTTTAATATTCTAAGGAGTTATTAATCTCTCGGTGTGTATAAGAGAACATAGACTTAAGGTTATCAAAATTACACTCCACTTGGGAAATGTATTGGTATAACAATGGTCTGTTGGTTGAGAGAGACAATAATACACGAAGGATTTGTTTTATGTAGAATTTGTTTTAAGTTTGTGTCCCTCGCGGTCGAATGGAAGCGATATTCAAGAAAACCAAAGGTGACGGTTTAGTTTGAAATGTTAACGTGGCCAAACTCTACTGTGTACGATAGTGAAGTGCCGTAGGTATAGCAGTAGTGGTGTGTCTAACTAGCACAGTACTGTAGTTTCCCAGTTCTTTCTTACTTTGGGCGGCCAGCTGAAGGTTGTGAAGCTGGTCGCAAAGTAGTGATGACAGTACATGAACAGTTTTAGTCTATGGTTATACTCACTAAAACATTTTAAGTCTTGATTGTCATGTTAGATAATTCCACCGAGTTGGTCCAATTTTTTGTTGTTATTATCTCACAGTATTAGATAAAATAATTTATCGGTGGCAATTGAGCCTCTTGGTCACCTGCTGCAACTCAACCTGCTCTTCAATTTAAGCTTTAATTATAAAAACCCAACAACAATCATTCTGCATATTGTGAGCCTCTCCTCAACATGTGTGCCCCATGTAATAGAGTTTAATAGAGAAACACTGGATAGAACATTGGAAGACTTCAAGAAACCTTAAGGACTTTCATCTGTGGTCGTGTGACGGTTTATTCTGTCATGCTGCGGCGAGACCCCTACAGCAGCTGCGCGGTATGTTACTCCTCGCTTCCCAGCTCCACCAATCGCACCACTCGCGGAGAATACAGTCAAGATGTTCGTTTGGATACTGTGTGCAAAATCACTCCCAAACCCGAACCCATTCTGTTCTCTTCTCTTGCAGGTCTAACGGTGAAGTGAATAATGTAGCCGTCATCCAGACTTGAGGCTCGCAGTAAATAGCAAAGACTTATTTTATTCTGGTTACTATTAATATACAACTAATTGCTACTATTTTTATTATACAGTACCTGGTGGTGTGTGGGTGTGGATACTGTAGCATATCTGGGTGTGTATCTGTGTGGAGGCATGTGGTAGGAGCAGGCAGTCACTGAAGAAGATGGTAATGTCCCAGCTGCATAATAATTTAATATGGAAGCACATCATATATTTCACTCACATAACACTTACAATATTCACTCTTTCAGGTACTTGAATGACTTCTGTTCCTAGAAATTTACTACAGTGCTTATACTTTCATACACTTGTCTATAGGTATTTCCATCCTTTATTGCTTCCTCCTCCCTATTCTCACTAATACAGAGGAGCCTCGATCAAGAACAAGCACCATCTCTCGTGCTGGTGTAACATTTGTTCTCCGGTGGTGTTAGATTCCACAACAAGGAGTCACTTATTATCTTGGGATTGTATTCTTGTTATCTCATATAACTGAGCTTCAACCATCAGCAGTTTGGCCATTCCCAGTGACCATGTGAGACCTTGGGTAGTTTGGGCATCTCCAGCGGCCACTTGACACCGTGCACCTCATCCTTACATTCTTCTACTACCCTAACCTCCCACCCTTCCACCTTAACCCTCTCGCGTATGATCGCGTCATATACAGGTACTCCCCGACTTACAACGGGGTTAGGGACCAACCTCCAGGTCGTAAGTCGGAAATGCTTAAATAACACATAGAAAATCGAAAATGGGTGTCTCTTTTTCTTCTCAGCACCACAAAACACTCACTTTTAAGCTTGCCAACCATTTTAAAGTGAATTACAGATGAAAATTTTGTCTGTGTACTGATTTTGGGATCCAAAAACACATATTTTGACCAAATTTTGGTACGACTGAGGCAGGTCATAAGTGCGGGTGGACGTAAGTCGAGTAGGTCGTAAGTCGGGGAGTACCTGTACATGATAAGACCAACTTCACGGTTACACAACTCGAGTCACCAAACTTTTAAAGTCTCGCCCAAAATTAAGTTTTCAACACAATTACGTCAAATTTGATGCTTCATAGTAGCAAGTAAGTTCTATCGAATAAATTAATTAGGAAGTGAAGAACGGAATGATAAATGTGCAGTATTATCTCTGCAGTCAGACCGTGTGTGTGAGCCGTGTCGATTTAAATTTCCATAACTGCGTGCGGGCTGCCTCAACTCCGGGATTACAGTGCGTACTCTACTCCTTGGAATAATTTCTTTTTAGTGTTAGAAAAGTGAAGTGGTGGTTGTGTTATGTGATATTTTTCATATTTACAGGGAAAGTGTTTAGTTTTCAAAAGAGGATGATTTTCTAGACATATAAATTTTATCAGTACCATTCTCTTCATTATAGTGTTGGCTACAAGATGCAATATAATTTATGTCAATATAAAACATAGACACAAAAAAGAAACCACCATTTGAGAATCATTTTTTTCTATTTTCTAAAAAATTCTTGGTAATATCAGAAATCTGTTGAAAAGCTCATAAAATTCCGCTTTTAGCTTTGTATATGTATTTTTTTCTCTTGTTTATTAGAAGTGACAAAAAATGGCTATGTACCTGTACTTGTATCATTCTTTTGGGGGGGGCTTATGTTGCAGAACAATCAGTTACGAAGCCAAGGATAAATGGTTTATGCCAATAAAGACAAGTTTTGGGGGGAAGTTGATAAAGCCCCCCCAAAAATATTCACTATGCGTTGTCTTACCTACGCTGGGGGCCTCAGAGATGTGCTCTTGGAACTGGAAAATGTAAAACTTATCTCGGCATGAGATAGTTAATCTCCCGTCCTAACCTTTCACCCCACCCCACCATCCTACCCTCCCATCCTAACCTCCCACCCCATCCATTCGTCCCACACGTCCACACCATCCTTATTTATCACGTGTCTCTACTATGCTATAATCATAAAAGAAAATGACACATCAATCTTCACTCACACAGACAATCTAATCTGCCTCACACCAACACTTCTAGTTGTGGTGTCTGTTGGATGCATAAGGTGAAGTGGAGTCTAGTTTGATCTCTCACTGTGTAGATAATGGAATTACATGGAACTTTTCTTTTGGTGAATATAATGTCTTTAGTTTTGTGGTTGTGAGGGAGATAAAGATATTTTTTCTTATTGTTTTTTTTACTGTATATTTTTTGTTTTGCTTCTGTTATTCATGTACGCTTTGATATACTCGTGTGCACTTTGATATACTTGTGTACGCTTTCCTATACTCGTGTGCACTTTTCTACAGTCTTATGAGTCATTTATGTAGTACTGTATGCCATATCTACCTATGCCCTTTTGTTATTATGACTACACCTTAAATGCACGAATAGGGGGCATATATCTATAATATTCACCACATTCATCTGTCTCTTTGTCACTTATCGTTTCAAGTACTCGAGAACACATCGATGGTCTGACGCGAGATCTAACCTACGGATAAATGTCTTGGTTGAGTTAGCTAATTCATTAACTATAACCCATTTTGGATATTAACCCTAAGTGCCAATGGTTTAAGAAATTTAGCTTAACTGTTTGAGGACGATGATGTAACCTTTTCACCCATTTTGTATACAGTATACCTGTAGTAGTTAAATACAAGTACTAATTTAATGGGTATGGCCTCTTGCTTAGCCCTCAAACAGCCGCCATCACCTACCTGTCGAAATTTTGTGTTCCTTGCCGTCTAATTTATGCATATATGGGGACCCTCGATATAGAAGTCCGTTAAATACAGGTTTCGTCGTATTCCAGCCCCCACGGAAAAAATAATGGCTGCTTATCGAACTCTATTCACCATTCTGATGCCTCAAACCCTTTCTACAGATTCCTTTGCTTGCATCTCCGTAATTCTTTAGCATGTACCGTACTGTTTATAATTTTTTCCAGGTTGGCCTATCTGCTGGTGACTCTTCCTGCCTAATATAAGTTCCTTCATTACTTCCTTGACTGCTTCAGGACTTGATTGATTTACCCAAGATGAGTGTGCAATATTTGGTTCTTCCAGTGATTTAACCCATTCAGGATGTTGATTTAACCCCTTGATGATGATGGTTTAGGACCACTAGTTTAACCCTTTGAGGATAATGTTGGTTTAACCTTTTGTGGATAATGTTTAACATAACATAAGAATGGAGGAAACTGCAGAGGGCCTATTGGCTCATACTGGGCAGTCCCGTTTACACCCAACCCCTATTGCTCATATATCCACCCAACCTATGTTTGAAGCTATGCAGCGTATTCGAGTTAATGATGATGTTTGGTAACTTGTTCCACTCATTCACTACTCTATTTCCAAACTAGTATTTACCTATCTCACGCCTAAATCAAAATTTGTCTAATTTAAAACCATTGCTATGATTTTGCTCCTGGTTGGATAGTTTGGGTACCTTTGTTTAGCCCTGACTTCCATTTATACACCTCGATCATATCGCCCCTCACTTTACGTCTCTTTGATGGTAAGTTTTTAAGGACTTTTGACTTAACCCTTGAGGACACTGGCTTAAATACAGCAGCTTAACCCATTCAGGATGTTAGTTTAACCCTTTGAGGATAATATTTAACCCTTTGATTTGGTGAAGCTTAACGTACTTCTCTCCATATAATGGGGGTGTCACATATAGCCAGCTCTCACTTTTCATCTCTTTTTCAGATACTGTACCTCCATATTTTGTTGTGTTTGATGAACTCTGGTAAACATGCTTGACCATTGTGTGTGTAGTGTAATAGTTTTGAATCTGAAGAAATGGTAATGATTATTCCCACTGCTTCTATTGTTTAAGTCATCCTAACCTAACTTAACCAGACTTAATCTGATCCAGTCTTACCTAAACCTAACCTAAACCTCAACTAACCTTTACCAATATGTGTAATAGTTATATGTCTGTGAGGAGAATAATTACCTGTGTAAAATGTGGTTTGATTATTCCCACCTCCTCATCTGTTTAACCTAACCTAACCCAAATGATCTTCACTTCCGACTCATATAGAATTGATTTATATTTTATCTTCCTTTATTTCTTTCTGTCTTCCTACTTTTCTTTCTTTGTTCCTACCTTTCTCTCTTCCTTCCTTCTTTCTTTCCATCCTTCCTTCTTTCCTTCCTTCTTTCCTTCCTGCCTTCCTTCCTTGTTTGCTTCCTTTCTTCCTCCCTGTATTATTATTATTTACACAACACGTAACTTCATTAAACCTTTTCCCAAATTATCATACACTTGTGGGTCGTCTTCAGCCGCATCTCAAACTTTGTATAACTTTTTCTAACGTCATTTTGCACTTATTAACCCCTTACGTGCGGGCTCCCCTCTGTGCTAAATAAAATCATCTGGCATCCGTCAAATGAAATACAGTATTAAAAGTGGCGTCCCCGTAGTGGAGGTGGTTGATTTCATAAAGCATTTTCACACATTGTTGTACACATGTAGACCATTTTTGCACCTAGCCATCTCACCTCACTCATACATGGTGCTTAACTTTAGCCACATCACAAATTTCAAAGTTAAATTTACCTATCGAATAAATTTCAGACTTGCATTTGCCGCTCACTGCTCTGCCCTCCGAAAAGCCTCGACTGTGGGAATATACTCTATCACTTTTCACACTTTGTGGTTACTGTGACCAACATTATCCTGGCTTATCGTAACTAGCCTTAACCGTGGGGGGTATTTTTGTTAACTTATATAATGTTAAATATTTCCCCGAGTCACTGTCACTGATACTGTTTTTGTGCGACGGTGAACTCAGTAATATTTTCCTGTTCCTTGTTTGACACAAGATATATATTAATCCATGTTCATACACATTGAAGGCAAATTAATCCATGTTCATATGCATTGAAGGCAAATTAATCCCTGTTCATACACATTAAACACCAATTAATCCCTTTTCATACATATTTGTTATAGTTAGAGTTAGAATTACTCCCAATGCTTCCCTATACACACATATGATCCTTATAACCAAGCTCTCTATTTAGTATTCAATTCTCTTTACGTATTTCTTGACGTTGCTGTAGATGGTATTATAATTCTACAAATCTCCAAAATTATTAACTTTTTTTTTTCCAGAAGCAGTATTTGATTTTGTTTATACAGGATGATCTAAAAATCCCTGTGTATTGTATTCTGTATTTTGAATGTATTCTACAGCCATTGAAATATACACCGTGCTTGTTTTTCTGTAGTTGATCATCTACAGTGGGATGACAGTATTATTTTTGTGGTACAGATTTTGCTTAATTTCTTCAGATTTAATGGGTAGTCTATGGGGTTAGTTCATCTTATATAAAGCACTTCCGGGAACACATTTGAGAGTGGAATTTACGGCAGGGTAGAATTTGTATAGGTTGGGTATTTCCGTACACAAATTCTGGGTAATTCTCCGAAGCTCACGGCACTTCAGTTTCCTATTGCAGAGACGAGGAGGAACTAAGCTGAAGAGGCCAACGGAAGAGAGAAATAATCGTGTTTATGCCCATATTTGGATTAGTTTTGACCAATGGCGCCAGAGGAAGATGTTCATTGGTGTTGATGGTTAACCTGTTTTTTTGTTTTTTTCCAGATACTTTTTTTTTCCAGATCATCATGACTAATATCCTGACATTATAAAATTCTGCTCTCAGTGTACTGTTGGGTAGATGTGATTTTGCATACAGTATACATTTCCCCCATGTTTTATCTCCTGTAAAAATCTTTTAAGTCTATATGTTAAGTATTGTAAACAGAATAAGTAAGAATTGTTTAAAAAAAAAAGTACTAGTTTTTGTTTGAGTATTTTGTTTGCTATTGTGTTCATCTGCACCATTAAAATAAATTTCTTCTTACAGTTAACAATTGTTTGATTTGTCTGTTTGTGTCTGTAGTATTAATCCTTCTTAGTTCTTAATGTCCTTGTGATTTGTGTGTAGATACCTGTATGAGTCTTACGTACGTTTAACATCTGACGGAACCTCGATATAATGGATTATACTCTCCCATATAGTCCGTAAATAGAGGTCTCACCATAACACCTAAATATATAGTATGCAAGAAGAAAACCCGGCCGTTAAGTGAAAAGATAGAGTTGTATTTTGTAATAGTTGATTATACAGATATGAAGAAAATGCAATAATTATATACTATTTAAATGTGTTAAGTAACATTTCATAACATTGATTATTAATTCATTCAATGGAAAATTATGGATATGAATAAGAAAAATATGTAAAAGTGTTGACCTGTAACATGGAGCCCGCCAGACCAGGTCCAAAATACTTGAAGGAAGAGGATCTGTATACACTTGACATGACACATTGAGAACACTTGATTTGACACATAGAGAACTTTGTAATTTGCACTCATGACAGAAACACTGGGATAATGTTCAGTACTTTATAATATTACATGTGCATAATCAAATCTTTTATTTATTACTGCAGTCAATATTTTCAGGTGAACATAATTATTGGTAAATGGTAGTTCTTGTTCCCTGCCATCATCTGCTGTCAGAGATATAGGAATGGCCTTTGTCTAGTCAACTATTCAAGTGAGCCTTCCTATGACCTTCCAATATTCAAGAGAATTTTATGAAACTTTGCATATATGATGATCGTCAGCTGAACCTTTATGTAAGACGGTACTTTGGATCCTTTTTTATCTTTGTATTTCAGAAGAAGATTGAAATACTTAGTTACAGGTATTACAATTCTCATCTTTTCGTAATACTGTATCATTTTCTGTTGAGGTTCAGTTTCAGAAGCAATATTTCTATCTACACCATTTAAACATTCTTGTTCTTGCATAATATAACCTCAGGTCCATAAGTTGTGAAGATATTGACACAGACTCTGGATGGTTTGGTGGAGTGTACTAGTAGTTGTCGTCCAAGAAGGCTTTGTCGAAGGCACTTGACGCAGCGGGGCCTCTCGGCATTTGTGGCCAGGGCGGGTCACTACAGATAGGTTGGCGAGCACTGTGGGTCTGTGTGGACGATTCTGTATAAAATGAAAGATTTTTATAGTCACTGATAACTTCAATGACAGTACAGGGTGTCTTAAATATACTGTACACACACACACACACACACTGCCTTACAGGGTTTTGTAGAAATTGCATGATTGGTTCGTCGTATTTCATTTTTGTACATTTGGGAGTGGAGGAGGGAATACTTAACTACCATACACTGGTTAAAACAAAAAAAAACTAGTGATGTACCGATTGTCCACAGTTAAAACACCTCTACACTAACTGAACACCATACAAACACTACACCACAATACAGTACCTGATTGAAAAGGCACAAGTGAGCCATATGGGATAGGTCCTATGGGAGCGATCTTCACACTCGAGTTTGGCTGATGTTTACGTCTTGAGCGGAAACAGAAGATGGCCAGATCCACGAGGAACTCCACCACCTCCATTATGGTCACCAGAGACATGCCGATGAAGAGCCCTAAGTTACCACCCACGTTACAGATGAGGGTGTCCCACTGTCGGTGTAAACAAGGAGAGAATTTGTTTAGGAATTAATACAATTTTAGAATTTATTTTAGGAATACATTTATAAATTTTTTTGTTTGGTGACATATAGTAGTTCATTATTTTATCTCAGTTTAGAGCTTTTATACAGATATGTAATTTGATGTAAGGAGCATCATCTTGTGTTAATATATTCAGAGGGATTTTCTCAGGTATTTAGTCTTATCCGTGTATTGTGTAAACTTATGTTAGCTTTAGCTTATATAAACTCCAAGACATACACAGTCTCAAACAAATTTAAACGAATCAAGTGAATGTTTGTATACTTGATGTATGAGGTCTCCTACAAATGAGGATAATATTATTGATGTAGTACAAACATTCATATGCTCTCCGTGGAAAAACCTGTGATGGACGGTACTCACAGTGTAGGCGGCACTCTCTTGAATCTTCTCGTAAGTGAGGGACTCCAGGTACACATGGAGGCGGACTGTCTCGTTCTGGGCCCTGCAAGACAAAGATGTACGGCCCTGTTATATCACCGTCAACAACCAGTTCACCTACACATCAAGACTATCGTGCTTAGGGGGGACATAATACCAACCTAGTACTTCCAATCTTTACCCTTGTCTAGTACTACCAATCTTTATCCCTGTCTAGTACTTCCAATCTTTATCCCTGTCTAGTACTTCCAATCTTTATCCCTGTCTAGTACTTCCAATCTTTATCCCTGTCTAGTACTTCCAATCTTTATCCCTGTCTAGTACTTCCAATCCTTATCCCTGTCTAGTACTTCCAATCTTTATCCCTGTCTAGTACTTCCAATCTTTATCCCTGTCTAGTACTTCCAATCTTTATCCCTGTCTAGTACTTCCAATCCTATCCCTGTCTAGTACTTCCAATCTTTATCCCTGTCTAGTACTTCCAATCTTTATCCCTGTCTAGTACTTCCAAGCTTTATCCCTGTCTAGTACTTCCAATCTTTATCCCTGTCTAGTACTTCCAATCCTTATCCCTCCTCTCTTACACTCACTAACATTCACAAGGCAAGAATGAAAATCTACCCAAACTTACATGAAAAGTGATGGTCAGATTCTTGACTTGTGACTACACCTCACTCACTCGCTCGCAGGATACACTTAATTAAACCATCAATTACACGTTATATCGGGGAAGATGAGGCATTAATCCACAGGTGGGTTGTGGTAGATGGTTCAGTGGATAGTGATGATATGTAAGGTACCTGTTTTTATCTGTAAGAACAAGAGATATCTCACCCAGTACACAGGTCGTCTCCCATCATCCTCTTGGTTAGGTTCTGGACGATGTAGTAAAAAAGGGTATTCTCCTCACTCGACGTTACCCTCGTCTGGAACATCGTCTCGCTGTAAACATGATAGGTGATGTAATGCCGTAACTAACATAATTAGCCTCATAACACAAGATATAACTGCTTATTAACACTGAGGTAGCCAAAGTTAATAGACATCATCTTATATACAGTAATATATAAGTCACATTAAAGATGGTTGTGTTGTTGCTTTTGTCTACCATTTTTCTGTATTACAAACACTAAATTCTGTGCCCTAACACCATCCTGCTGTACCATCAACACTCCATCCTGTACCATCAACACTCCCTCCTGTACCCCCAACACTCCCTCCTGTACCCCCAACACTCCCCCCAGCTCTATCCCTAACACTCCCCCCTCCTGTACCACTAGCCATTAATGATAAGTACTCACTGACAAGATGGTGGGCAGTCACAGTTAATAAGTCGCTGCTGGTAGGAAAACATCACCATCTCCGTACACAACTCTGCACAAGACACAACAATTTATTAATACATATCCGATGGTAAATGTTGTGATCTTGTAAAGTTTAGGCACCCCAGTTTATTTTACCTGATGATTAAACACCCTGACATTACCTGGTTTCTTTATTTACAAACTAGGAAAAAGTATTCAATTACAATTACTTTATTTTAAATTCAGTCTTATTAGGGTCAGTTTATTTGTTTCCTTGGGTGTGGTAAGTTTGGTTTTCAAAGTGCTGTACTGTACCACACTTTGAAAACCCAAGAACATCTCCTTTGAACAATGTCAAAGGAGGCATGTGTGTGTGTGTGTGTGTATGCCTCCACCCCCAAACCCAGACTATAAATGACTTGTTTGTAAGAAGCAGTGTGCATAAAGTATTGGAATCTACAGCCATTGTAGGACTCGCCAATAAACCTGAAGAATAAGTCATCATTGGACACGAAGGACTAACATAAACAAGTAAGTAAGCAAGCAAGTTAGTTTGGTAAAGTTAAGTTAGTTTAAATTTAACATAAGTGTGGTAGGTTTGGAGATAAGTTTGATTTAGTTAGTTTACGTTCAGTTGGGTGTGTTAGGTTTGGTGGTACGGTGGTTTATTTTCCTGTGTCTTTTTATAAAATTTGTTCCCGTGATATTTTTGTCCAATAGATCCCTTACTAAAAGTGGCTCGATAACGTACTTTGGGTAATATTGAAGGCAGAACATTGTATCTTAGGCTTCTTGATAGTCTGGATGTCGTAGGCTGGACTTTTGCCGCTGTAGCACTCGCACTTACTCCACAGCTCCTGCTCCACACACACCTTCTTGCATCTCTGCAGACATTTGAGACATAACTCGCCATGAAAAGAAGAGTTATAGAGTAGGCATAAATTCTTCCAGTGTATTGATATTTTAACCTAACCTACCCTACCCCATTCTACTCTATGATCCCTACCCTACCCTACCCTATGATCCCTACCCTACCCCATTCTACTCTATGATCCCTACCCTATCCTATGATCCCTACCCTACCCCATTCTACTCTATGATCCCTACCCTACCCTACCCTATGATCCCTACCCTACCCCATCCTACCCCATTCTACTCTATGATCCCTACGCCCCTACACCCCTACCCTACTCCCTACCCCTATGATCCCTCCCACCCTACCTATGATCCCTACCTGCCCTACCTGATCCCCACCCCTGCCTATCTACCTGCAGTCCCCCCTATCCACCTACCTCTACCCTACCCCATTCTACTCCCACCACCTGCACCCTACCCTGTAGTCCCTACCCTACCCCAGTCCCTACCTCCCAACCCTCCTATGATCCCTACCTGTCCTGCCATATAGTCCCTACCCCTCACCCTGTCACCTGACCCAACCTACCTATCCTCCCTTTCATCTCTACCCCTGCCCTATGATCCCTACCCTACCCCATTCTACTCTATAGTCCCTACATACCCCCTACTGCCCTATGATCCCTACCCTACCCTACCCCATTCTCACCAGCAGTCCCTACCCTACCCTATCATCCCTACCCTACCCCATTCTACTCTATGATCCCTACCTTACCCTATCCACCTATGATCCCTACCCCATGATCCCCATTCCACCCCTTTACCCCCCTACCCTTTGATCCCTACCCCACATCTCCCCACCTATGTCACTACCTTACCCTATCCCTACCCCACACTCTCTACCTACCCTATGATCCTACACCTACTTATGATCCCTACATATCCCTACCTTATTCCTACCTACCCTCTACCCCTGACCCTACCTGATCCTATCCTACCCTCTACCTGATCCCTACCCTACCCCATTCTACCCTACCCCATACTCTATGATCCCTACCTTACCCTATCCTACCCTATGATCCCTACCCTACCCCATTCTACTCTATGATCACTACCCTACCCTACCCCATTCTACTCTATGATCCCTACCTTACCCTATCCTACCCTATGATCCCTACCCTACCCTCAATTTAATCACCATATCACCAACCTAACACTAACATAACCTAACCCAACACTAACCTAATCTTCCTAGGTAATGTTAAGGTGTCTAATCTTCAGGTGAAATAAGCTAATGTGTCTAATCTTCAAGTGAAATAAGCTAATGTGTCTAATCTTCAAGTGTAATAAGCTAATGTGTCTAATCTTCAGGTGAAATAAGCTAATGTGTCTAATCTTCAAGTGTAATAAGCTAATGTGTCTAATCTTCAGGTGAAATAAGCTAATGTGTCTAATCTTCAAGTGTAATAAGCTAAGGTGTCTAATCTTCAGGTGAAATAAGCTAATGTGTCTAATCTTCAAGTGTAATAAGCTAATGTGTCTAATCTTCAAGCGTAATAAGCTAATGTGTCTAATCTTCAAGTGTAATAAGCTAAGGTGTCTAATCTTCAGGTGAAATAAGCTAATGTGTCTAATCTTCAAGTGTAATAAGCTAATGTGTCTAATCTTCAAGCGTAATAAGCTAATGTGTCTAATCTTCAAGTGTAATAAGCTAGTGTGTCTAATCTTCAGGTGAAATAAGCTAATGTGTCTAATCTTTAAGTGAAATAAGCTAAGGTGTCTAATCTTCAGGTGAAATAAGCTAGGGTATCTAATCTTCAAGTGTAATAAGCTCGGGTCTAATTTTCAGGAGGTGGACACTCACAACAGAGGAGTACTCGTGGAAAGTCTTGGAGTCTGTGGTCGACCTGCAGGTACCATGAGGAGGACCAACCCTTTCTATCTTTTTCTGTTGACAAATTAATTACTCAAGAATTATTTATCGGTTTAATGTATAATATTACTTTAAGTATTATGTATTGTTTAATTTATTGCTGTATTTATGTATCACTGAATTTATCATGTTGTGTTTATTAATTTCTGTATGTAGCAAAGTTATCATTTTACAGTACTTAAGAATTATTACATTTCATAACTTGAGAATTTTGTATTTATTTAATTTATAATTTTTCAGATCTTGAGACTTATTTACACAGACACGGTGAAATTGATAGACAGACAGACAGACAGACAGTGTACCGCCCCCATACTCACCCTAGACACTCCAACAGAGACACTGAGGCCAGGGGAGATATTGAAGCCCTCGTCCTCAGGAAAAGGCAACTGGCGAGGACTGTGGACGATCACCCTCACCCCGATCTCAGGTGACAGGAGGGACAGGTAATTCTTCACCTGTATGCCAATCATCAGCCTCAACCCATTCTGTAGGTGACATCAAGACCACCGTTGTAAAGTAAGTTCGGCTTCTGTTTCTCTTTTGGTGATCTTTATTGTCCGGTGTTTTTACGGGAGGAAATTGTTAATATTTAGTAGTTGCTGACTTATATATTGAGTCTTATATCGGGAGATAGAGGAAAAATACTAAAAGTAATTTATTCTATAGCCTCTCTGTTGTGAAATAATTTATTCATTGACCCCTGGAATATGCATTGACACCCTGGAGTATATATTGACCCCCCGGAGTATATATTGACCCCCTGGAGTATACATTGACACCCTGGAGTATACATTGACACCCTGGAGTATACTGTACACTGACCCTAGGACCGACAGTAGAAGTCTTTTTGGGAACTGCTCTCACAATTTTCTTATTCTTGAGTTTGATCTTACGGAAAGCTGAGTTATAGGTGTAACACATGCCGTACTGATCACTAGTCCACGATTGGAAATGTCTGTCGGGATAGAAATGAATCGTGAGTTAGATTTGGTTTGGTCAGGTTAAATTTGGTTAAGTAAAGTAAGGTTTGGTTAGTATGTGAGGTATTGTAAAGCACAGCCAGAACACCTTAGGTTAGGGATTAAATCATCGTACTTAAGGGGTTAAATCATCATACTCAAGGGGTTAAATTATAGTAGTGAAGGGGTTAAATCAGTGTACTCAAGGGGTTAAATCATCGTACTTAAGGGGTTAAATCATAGTAGTGAAGGGGTTAAATCATTGTACTCAAGGGGTTAAAAGAGGTAACAGTACTCACTTATGGGTACAAGGCCGCCGGTCGTAGCTACAGGTACGAATAAAATCTTTGGTAGGAAGACCATAAGTATCTAAATCCTGGGCTGTAGGCGAAAACACTCCCACCACATCGGAGAAGTCAGGTGTGTGGCTCTTCTGAAACATTCTCTCCACCATGCTTACCGTCAAATTGGTGTCAACCCAGGTATCGAAAACTGAAACACAGTATCATTATCAGTAGAGGTCTTTTATAATCATAGACCTTTGGCGTTACCTTTTGATTACAGACCCTCCGAAACTAATTAATTTTACCTGCGTGATTAATTTACTAATGGTACAAAAAGCAGTTGTTTTATCTGGTAAGTACATAGTTAATTGTGATGGAAGGTATTTATTGCGTTGACCTCATGATACCTACAGCTCTTTGGTAAACAATCTTTGGAACAGGATGGGCAGTGGGTCTCTTCATTGTATTCCATACCTCTCGTCTCTGTGTACTCTGTAATATAAAACATAGTATTAATTATTGTTCTATGTATTGGTGGTGCTGGTGAGTGTTTCAGGTTTGTTTGACATGTGTTGTTGATGTGTGTATGTATGTATTAGTGGTTTGTTTATGGTGAGTTGTGGTGTGGTGATGTGTCGCTTTTTTTTTCCCATTTCCATTCCACACACAGACACCTATCCCATCACGAAACACCTACCCCATCACGAAACACCTATCCCATCACGAAACACCTATTCCATCACAACACAATCATCACAATCACCTTGAGTTGTACCTAATCACAACACTAGTCAAGGAACAAAAACCAAAGACTTCCAACACCTTTCAAGTTGTAGTCAAAACAGCCAAAGTTGTCACAGAAGATCTCCAGGCGGCAGAGAATATTGTAGGAGACATCCATTTTGTAGTTCTCTGAGGGAGGGAGAAGGGGGACACTCAGTTATAATTCATGTAAAGTAGGTTGAAGAAAATGAAGTGAATAGTGGATAGATGGATCGATGGATGGCTATGTAGACGGGTGATTGGATAGATATATAGATAAATACAGTAGATGGATGGATAAATAGTCAATAAACTTATCATACTTAACCTAACCAAACTTACTATATAGACAACCCTGGTCATCTTTAGGGTCAAAACTAAGACCCATTCCTTGGTTATCACTTTCTTCATCTTGCCGGTACTTGAGGTATTTGTAGTAGAAACTGCACTGTAGGCGTATCTGTTCAATATTTTCCTTGGTGTCATATCGATCATGAAGGTCTTCGTATGGGAAGAATTTGTCGGGAGTCTCTGTAATGTACGTACTATAATAATAACTTTGATTAATAGCAACAACGATGATTTAAATACAGCAACAACAACGATAATAACAAAAACATTGATTTAATTGCAACAACAAAAACATTAATTGAAAATGATTTGATATTGTTTTTGTTTTTTGGTGTGTTTGTTTGTTTTAATTCAAACATTATTTTTTTATTATTATCACTATCCATTCTCCACTATCATTCTCCACTATCATTCTCCACCATCATTCTCCACCATCATTCTCCACCATCATTCTCCACCATCATTCTCCACTATCATTCTCCACCATCATTCTCCACCATCATTCTCCACCATCATTCTCCACCATCATTCTCCTCCATTATCCATTATTATAACTTACTTGCAGCATCTGTCTTGGTTACATCCTCGTATTCTTCATACTCCACCACGAACTTGTGTTCATTAGCCTGGAGGAGAGTGAGAGAAGGTTATAAAGAGGTGAGAGAAGGTTATAGTGAGGCGAGAGAAGGTTATAGTGAGGTGAGAGAAGGTTATAGTGAGGTGAGAGAAGGTTATAGTGAGGTGAGAGAAGGTTATAGTGAGGTGAGAGAAGGTTATAGAGAGGTGAGAGAAGGTTATAGAGAGGTGAGAGAAGGTTATAGAGAGGTGAGAGAAGGTTATAGAGAGGTGAGAGAAGGTTATAGTGAGGTTATAGTGAGGTGAGAGAAGGTTATGGAGAGGTGAGAAAGGTTATAGAGAGGTGAAGAAGGTTATAGTGAGGGCGAGAGAAGGTTATAGTGAGGTGAGAGGTTATAGTGAGGGAGAGAAGGTTATAGAGAGGTGAGAGAAAGGTTATAGAGAGGTGAGAGAAAGGTTATAGAGAGGTGAGGTTAGAGGTGAAGAGAAGGTTATAGTGAGGTGAGAGAAGGTTATAGAGGGAGGTGAGAGATAGGTTATAGAGAGAAGAAGGTTATAGAGAGGTGAGAGAAGGTTATAGTGAGGTGAGAGAATGGAGGTAAAATGAACTTGGGGGAGGGGGAGCCAAACAACCTAACCTAACCCTTACCTAGGTAGATTTTAGTGTAATACAATATAATCATCAGGTGAAATAAACTATAGACAGGTAGACAGAAGGGGGGGGGGAGTTAATCGTCAGGTGATGCAAAATATTAAAAAAAAAAATAATAATAAAAACACATTTGACCCACCTGAGTAAACTGTAAGAAATCCAGTGTTCGAATATTATCGGTGACCTTTTCCTCCCGAGCTGCTGTAACTTTTTCCTCCTTGGCTTCTCTCTTGAACCTAACTCTAGCTTCCTTTATCCATGAACTGCCATCGTATGTGTGTGTGTTAGTCCCTTCTCCATTCACCTTCTTGGTCTTGATGAAGTGTTTTAGGGTTTCAGGTTTAATATTCAGTGTGTCTCTTTTTCTACGTAAGTCTTCGTATGTTGAAGCTGTAGTGGCATCTGTTGTTGTTGAAGCTGTAGTGGCATCTGTTGTTGTTGAAGCTGTAGTGGCATCTGTTGTTGTTGAAGCTGTAGTGGCATCTGTTGTTGTTGAAGCTGTAGTGGCATCTGTTGTTGTTGAAGCTGTAGTGGCATCTGTTGTTGTTGAAGCTGTAGTGGCATCTGTTGTTGTTGAAGCTGTAGTGGCATCTGTTGTTGTTGAAGCTGTAGTGGCATCTGTTGTTGTTGAAGCTGTAGTGGCATCTGTTGTTGTTGAAGCTGTAGTGGCATCTGTTGTTGTTGAAGCTGTAGTGGCATCTGTTGTTGTTGAAGCTGTAGTGGCATCTGTTGTTGTTGAAGCTGTAGTGGCATCTGTTGTTGTTGAAGCTGTAGTGGCATCTGTTGTTGTTGAAGCTGTAGTGGCATCTGTTGTTGTTGAAGCTGTAGTGGCATCTGTTGTTGTTGAAGCTGTAGTGGCATCACCTGTAGTTGACCCATCAGTAGTACCAGCTGTAGTTGACCCATCAGTAGAGGCACTTGTAGCTACAGTGGTACTATCTTCAAATGATAAAAAAAAATTCCCCTGGTTAGGAATTAAAGTACTGTAGTAAAGTAGAAAATATACACAAGCACATTGAAACACAGTGAGATAAGACAAGAAGCAGTTCATCGTTTATAGTGAGGTAGAATAATGGGTAGGGGAGAGGGAGGGAGAGAGGAGAGTGAGAGAGAGAGAGAGGGAGGTAGAGGGGAGAGAGAGGGGATGGTGGGAGAGAGAGGGAGGGATGGTGGGGAGGGAGGTAGGGGAGTGGGAGAGAGAGAGAGAGGAGAGGGGATGGTGGGGAGAGAGGAGAGGGAGGTAGAGGGGAGAGGGAGGGAGAGGGGAGAGACAGAGAGTAAAGAATTAACAAGAATTAATGTTAACAAAAATATCATCCATTAGTTACAACTTTTCCCTCAGGATCTTATAGAGAAATCTTATTGGCTGGTGTTGTAATGACTCTCTGTATGTGGTCAAAATTGGGGGTGGGGAGCGGACAAAACTGAGGGTGGGGAGTGGACAAAACTGAAGGTGGGTAGCGGACAAAACTGAGGGTGGGGAGCGGTCAAAACTGCGTCACAAAACTGAGGGTGGGGAGTGGACAAAACTGAGGGTGGGGAGTGTCAAACTGAGGGGTGGGGAGTGGACAATAAAACTGAGGGTGGGCAGGACAAACTGAGGGTGGGGAGCGGTCAAAACTGAGGGTGGGAGTGCACAAAAAACTGAGGGTGGGGGCAGTGGACAAAACTGAGGGTGGGGAGCGGTCAAAACTGAGGGTGGGGAGTGGACAAAACTGAGGGTGGGGAGTCATTGTGCGTGATCATGGATAAACACAAACTTAAACCATGGCTTAAAATAATCCTATATTAAGCAGCCATGATGTTGATTCTTGAACCATTAACTCTTAAGTCAACTCGGACAGATGGACGGACAGATGGACGGACAGACGACGGACAGATGGACGGACAGACGACGGACACTGACAGCTGTAGTGGCACCTGTAGTTGTTGCAGCTGTAGTGGCACCTGTAGTTGTTGCAGCTGTAGTGGCACCTGTAGTTGTTGCAGCTGTAGTGGCACCTGTAGTTGTTGCAGCTGTAGTGGCACCTGTAGTTGTTGCAGCTGTAGTGGCATCAGTAGTTGTACCACCAGTAGTTGTTGTTCCACCTGTAGTTGTACCACCAGTAGTTGTTGTTCCACCTGTAGTTGTACCACCAGTAGTTGTTGTTCCACCTGTAGTTGTACCACCAGTAGTTGTTGTTCCGCCTGTAGTAGTTGTTCCACCTGTAGTTGTTCCGCCTGTAATAGTTGTTCCACCTGTAGTTGTTCCGCCTGTAGTAGTTGTTCCACCTGTCGTTGTACTATCTGTAGTAGTTGTTCCCCCTGTAGTTGTTCCACCTGTCGTTGTACCACCTGTAGTTGTTCCCCCTGTGGTTGCTCCACCTGTCGTTGTACTATCTGTAGTAGTTGTTCCCCCTGTGGTTGCTCCACCTGTCGTTGTTCCACCTGTAGTAGTTGTTCCACCTGTCGTTGTACTATCTGTAGTAGTTGTTCCACCTGTCGTTGTACTATCTGTAGTAGTTGTTCCCCCTGTAGTTGTTCCACCTGTCGTTGTACCACCTGTAGTAGTTGTTCCACCTGTGGTTGTACCATCTGTAGTTGTTCCACCTGTCGTTGTTCCAGTCAAATATTCGTAGTCACCATAAGCATAACCTGTGATTAAATGCCTATATTAAGTCGAACATAAGCATGGAGAGAGAGAGAGAGAGAGAGAGAGAGAGAGATATAAAAAATACAGCTAAAGATAGTGAGGGAGAGAGAGAGGAAAAACAAAATATATGCAATAAATTGAAAACAAAAGCTAAACGACCTCGTATTACGCACCATAAAAGTCATTTCCAAACCCACTGTTGAAGCCTGTGTCGTAGTCTTGTTGGTAGTCGTAGTCGTAGTTTGGTGAGTACTCTTCCTCTACGTAGAAGTCGTCTTGGTTGTTGCTCAGGCCCTCACACACTGGAAGGGTTGTGGTTGTTGTGGTTGTGGTTGTTATTTTTGTTATTATTACTGTTGTTATTATTATTATTATTATTATTTTAAAACTATTATTATTATTATTATTATTGTTATTATTATTATTCACGTGATAACAGTATAGAATAATAGTGAGGTACTGTACTGGCTCTTGACTGTAATTAAACAAACAATCTCTCTTATTAGGCAACTTGTGACCATGTATTCAGCTACAAGGATAACATATTGCACCACAAACTATCACCATAACACCACAAACTATCACCATAACACCACAAACTATCACCATAGCACCACAAACTTTTCCAACAACTTGTTAAATAATTATTGTTATATTCAGTGGCATGTCCGGATGATTGGAGGGGTTGGGGAGGGGGGCTGGTGGGATCATGGGGTTGGGGAGGGCTGGTGGGATGGTGGGATCATGGGGTTGGGAGGGGGCTGGTGGGATCATGGGGTTGGGGAGTGGGGTTGGTGGGATCATGGGGTTGGGGGCTGGTGGGATCATGGGGTTGGGGAGGGGGGGGGTTGGTGGGATCATGGGGTTGGGGAGGGGGCTGGTGGGATCATGGGGGTTGGGGAGGGGGCTGGGGATCATGGGGTTGGGGATCATGGGGTTAGGGAGGGGCTGGTGGGATCATGGGGTTGGGGAGGGGGGGCTGGTGGGATCATGGGGTTGGGGAGGGGGTTGCTGGTGGGATCATGCACCCCCTCCCTCTTTGTCACCTGCTTTCAGTCACACACACACACACACACAGTCCCCAGTTATTTACCTTTAACCACACAGAATAATAAAGATCCACAGTCCAGACCAACAGCTGGTAGGTGGAGGGGAGGAGACGGTAACTAGTTTAAATATACAGTAGTTTTTTGTTAACTTAGCTGACTGAATGATTTTGTTCCTTTTACTAACATAATTCTCTTCTCTCTGTGTACCTGTTGCCTAGGTGTCAGTAATTACAGTACAGGTGCTTAGCCAACTTTTGTTTGTTTTTTATAGAGGTAATGTCTAGTATATAAGTTTACCTCATAATATATCAATCTAAACGGCAAAATATATGCTATTATCCGACGTAAATTCCTCCCTTGAGTGTAAGTGTTACCAAGTTGGGTTTATTATTTTTATTATTAACGCCTTATGATCGCCCCTAAGTGTGAGAGGTTATTTGATATATTATTGTTAATTTTTCACATTGATAAATTCACCAAAAATGTCACGAATTGTTGATCTTGAGAGGAATTCGGTTTTATGGTTCTACAGTATGTAATTATCATGAGTTGCCAATTACCGACATTTAACGAGTTCACTGAAATTTTATGAGGGAAGGTTTTTATGAACATTACTGAGTTGTATTGGCTGTTATTAACCCCTTGAGTACGATGACACACACATATATACTGGCTTGCCACCCTCCCTCCTCACACACACACACACACACACACACACACACACACACACACACACATTCACACATTCACACACTCACCTGTCTCGTAATACATCCATCACCCTCAACCACACACCACTCACCTGCCCCCTTACACACCTGTCCTCCCTCCACATACACACCTGTCTTCCTCACATACACACATACTTGGCTCGGCGTTCATTTCCTCAATATAAATGAAGGGCCCCCATTTCTCGTGGCCCCTTAGCTTGTCCTTACTGGCCAGTGGATTCAGGTTACATACTGTCACTGCCGGGAATTCTGCTGTCATGTCCTCCTCTACCTGTTAGGGGTAAGAAAGTAGGTGGAAAGTATCAGGAAGAGAAAGTAGGTGAAAAGTATCAGG